CCGCCCGCCCGCCCGCCTTATTATTTCGGTCTATCAAATTTACATACTGTTTGACTTCCAAAATCCAAAAACCTCCGGTCGAATATATGGAAGCGCGCTAGTTCCAGAAGTTCTAATGAAATCAACCCACGAATCAGCTCATTCAACTGTTCGCGACTTAAAATTACTTCGCCGGAATCTCTGGAACCATTAGAGTACTGCGGAATTCGCCGCAGAGCCATCAAACCAGCTCTAATAGAACAGAGGACAAAATACATGTAGGAATTATTGGTAGCATGCATGAGAATAAAGGGAGTAAAGACGTGGCCGTTATGTTGGCGAAAGTMAACTAAGATGGYGGCTATGACGTCACATGCACCCCAAGAATAGAATATATTTCTATCTATTTTTCTTGCTTACACCAACTATGCTGTCACGATGTTTCTTTAGTGCAGCTTTCTCTTCGTTGAACTTGTTGGTCAGTTCACTCAACTTCTTTTCTGAGTTCAGTCGCGYTCTATCGATAAAATGAGAAAGACAAAACTCAGTTGATTAAATGATTGGCCAACTGTAATCACATGATATGAAAAAGATTTTCATAACATGTTTTTCGCGAGTGAATTTTGAACGTGTCTCAAAACATTTTCTCAAAATTTTCCGTTCGAAAATGGTACAAACAGATTTGAGGAAGAGAATGTGAATAACAGATTAAGAGAAAAGTTGAAAGCAGAAGTGTACGGTAGGCCGCTACAGAATAGGCGGGTATATAGGATACGGTGGATGGAAGAAGGTGGGGAAGGGTGCGGTATGTGAGGGAGAAATGAATATTATCCCTTCAAATTACCTCAGATTGTCTTCTCTCAGCTTTTTTATTTCTTCGTCGAGAGTGCGATTAGCCTGCAAACACAATCGTAAAATTAATATAATGAGGATGAATCTTAGTATTTTTGGCTTCTCTGRAAGAAAGGAAATAAGACTAAGGCTRWGTTTTCAYTAGGAATGTTAACTTGCCTAAAATTCCTGGAGGCGTTTTAATMCGACAACCACCTTTCAAGAATAACACTGTGATTGGCCCATTTATTTGGTAGGACAACTTRAACCATCTTGCTAGGTAGTTTAACTTTGCCTTATTTCCGGTGTTATATTTAAGCTAGTTTAAATTGTCCTAGTGAAAACACAGCYTTATTCCTTCAAATTTAATGCATGATCAAGGCTTAGCATGCGTATATTGAGATGTCTCGTTTATTTTCCTTTGCCACYCCTGTGCAGAACTATCCATTTCTTTCTTTTCCCATTTTCCCCTTTTTTAGTAACACATCTAGGTGATTGAAAAATCGCGCGCGCTGATTGATCGAGAACTTAGGACTAATTCTCGATAATCACCTATAGAACTGTTAAGTGTGACCTAATTCGGACGAAAAACTACTTCCGGGTCCAAATTAATAATTACTTCTRCAGACATTTTTCTGCGTTTTTTTCTTCATAGCAGGATTTTCTGTTTATATATCTAATTGTTGAAGGTAGAGAATAAATCCTGGGAATAAGTTATGGCAAGATTTTAGTGATCTTTTGCGTGATTGGACCCGGAAATACGTCATAACTTAAAAGCCCTATAAGTAAATATGGAATTCCGCGCGTGCCGTTTGTTGATGCGTGCTGTTTTCGAAGTACGAAATAAATATACATTTTAGAAATAAACTGATGATGTCTATTTTTTCTCAAATAATAGCCTTTGTAATGCTATTAAAGCAACTATCTATTGAGATAATACCCGACGTAACTTTGACTTAACCAACCTCTTGCGCCTTTTCTGATCTGCTTGTGAACTCTTGTTCCATCATTCTCAGCCGTTCATTGGTCTGTAATCAATAACAACAAACAATAACATTATGGTTTTCGACAGAATTCATGTGACGGMCAAAGCATGTCGCGTGRAACGATTAATAATATCTACAAATGGTTAAACCATCACGTGGCTTGGAGGACCACGTCAATGGCAGTCCCGTCCCTAATCAACAATAAGAGTTAAAAGAGGACGACTAGGTTATCGCTTGAGTTAGTGCAGTTTTCGTATGACTGTGAAAAATTCACGGCAAGGGATACGCCAGACCAATCACATTGCACGAGAATTTACTCTCCATCCAATCAAATACCCGGAACACGGCATAAACACGGCGCGGACACGGTCACGCCAAGGTCACGGCAATGCCAGACCAATCACATTGTGCGTGAAAAAATCAGCCAATTAAAATTCTAGAAAGCATCACGGTCACGGCCGGCCTCACGCTTACGGCACTGAGCTTTTCACAGTCATACGAAAACTGCTCTACTGTCAAGTGTTACACTCTATAAGCAACGATATGTCATTAATAAATAATGAAAACCATAWCTATTCCATTAGTTTTCATTATTGCCATCGATTGATCGATTCTTTATTAATCACGATACGCAGATGACAAAGGAGGACGGCACCCTATGAACCAGTTTGCGAACTAAACTGGGATTTTAATGATAGCATAAACGTAAATATTTTTGATGTTATTTTTCCGTAGTTATAGGCAGGAGGGAAGGAGTACCAAATACACCAAGTAAAACTTCCCTGAATGCGCAAATGCAATTACAGCTTGAAAGGTTTCTGTTCATCCAATCAGAGTGCTGTGACACGGTCACGGTATCGTATGTTTTTTTGACAATTATACGGCGACATTTAATATTCGTCATATAGTAATACCTTTTCAAGCAGCTGTTCCATCTCTGCGCTATGAGCTCTTCTTAACTCCAGTTTCTGTTGCTCTAGCTCACTCCTTCCCTTGGCTTGCTGTTTGAGGAATAATGTTTACTTGGTTAAGAAAAAGTCATTAATGGCGCTGGTTCAGTTTCGTAGTACAAAACAAAACTATTCAAGTTTTAACAAAATGAAAATTAACATTGGTTTCACACATGACTCTTCATCCACTGGATTTACTCCAATAGATCTTTTTCCGACATGCGCGAGCACTGACAAAAGTATCGCGTGCTCAGATTCAAAAACGAGGCATTCTTTCGGGCAAGACTATCAACGCGTGCTATGGAAAACACATACAMAACTTTGAAAATTATGTYAACGAAGGAATACATTCAAGTTTCTTTTGGTAAGGGAACAAGATAATAATTTTTTCAAAAAAATACAGCTCACTTTAGAAATCGCCTTTAACTCTATGGTTTCCAATGGTTTTSTTATCACACTGCCCGRAAATGCCTTGTTTTCATGTCTGTGCCTRCGATATTTATGAATGCGCTCGCGCATCTCAGAAATCGTCTATGTTGGAGTTTAGAAATTGATTTTTGCGGAGGGAGGAATAACCTGGAAAAGCCATWGAAAAACCGGAGAATCACAASAGAGAACAAGAGGCAAMTCTATTCACATACCACACCGAGTCMGRGGAATCCAACCCGGGTCAGTCATTGGTGAGAGGCGATCGCTCTCACTGTGACGTCACCGGTGCTTCCWATTGAATCAGTTGGTTGGCAAGTTACTTACAAGATTCTCTTCTTGTCTCTTGAAGGCTTGTTTTTCTTCTTCTCGGAGTAGGTTGAGTTCCATGAGTTGTGTTTTATGTAGTGAATTGGCCTGCATAATCTGATATCAATGATAAACTCAGTAAACATAAAAAAGACATCATAGATGAGGGGGGAAACAACAGCAAAAATAAACTAGTGTAACAACATCGACAAAAGGCAACAACAGTAAAATCAAAAGGGACAACAACGACAAAAACAACAAGTAAAAATGAACTATATAACAACAACATCAACAAAAGGCAACAACAGTAAAATCAAAAGAGACAACAACGACAAAAACAAGTAAAAAATGACAAAGATAACAAAAACAGCGACGCAGCACATTAGTACGTAGCTTACCTCTTCCCGTAACTCTCGTACTTGCTGTTCTAATTCGGCATTGACCTATTAAAATAAATCAACAAATTGAAAATAATTAACAAATTGACATCAGTTTTTTATGTGTCTGTCCTCTTATTGACGAATGAATTACAGCCATTCTCAATCACACGCGCCCTCTAGCGATTCTTTCTGTCGCGACGAAGAAGGTTTTGGTGGACGTCAATCACTAGGCGTTTCCATAACATTGTCGGAAAACGCAAAGCTATAAGGGCACGTGCCTACWGAATGTCATGGAAACGCCTTGATTGACGTCCACCAAAAGCTTCTTCGTCTCGCGACAGAAGCAATCTCTAGAGCGGCGCATGTTATTGAGAATGGCTGTAAATACTATTGATAGGATTGATAATATTTGTTATGATTCAAAAAGGAATCAGTGGATGACACACGTTCGCTGTGTGTGTGTGTGTGTGTGTGCGTAATACTGACCTTAGCATCTTTAGTTGATCTATCTCTTGACTGGTTTTCCATATCCATCATCTTCTGGTGTAATTTTTCACTCTGTAAATCCTAACAGGCAAAAACGTAGCGAATTTTCGAATATAATCTTTAATTAAGGTGGTTGGTCATTGATGACGGTTTTGAGTATTAAAGCAACGACTTTTTATTTTATAGGTATTTTTAATAAGCGACCATCGCACGTCGAAGGATGTGCGCATRAAGAAACGTGTTCAGCTAGTTATATTGTGCTATCTCTTGGTCTTGTCCCCATACAAATACCCTCCCTATCCTACCCTTCTCACCCCTGACATCGTATTATAATAAACCCTACCCTCTCTGGTCTTGTCCCCATACAAATACCCTCCCTCCCCCMCCCTCCACGACCCGGACATTCATACAGTAAAACCCCTCTTGCTTTCCATTCTATTTAGCACCCGGCAACATTCTATTGGTATACTAGCTGTGGTTATGATAAATATTTCTGTTCACTTGCTCTTGTTCCCATACAAATTCCCTCTCCCCCCTTCTTCACCCCTGACATCGTATATAGTAAACCCTACCCTCTCTTGCTCTTGTTCTCGTAGAATACAGTCTCGCTCAGCTTGGTGACTCCTTAACATCTGTGCCTTGTCTTGTTCGTGACTTATCTTGAGCTCAGCTATCTGGAAAGCAAGAGAAAAGGTTAGTTTGTTTCATCCTAGCCTGCGCGCAGCCGGACTTCAACTCTGGTTAAGACCGTCTTAAAATAAACAGAGTCAAAGTCCGGGTAGAATAGACCACTTGCAGCACGCCGCAAGGCAGCTCAATTTGGAGGACATAACCATAGGTTTCTAATTCTCAGTTCTTTAAATTCTTTTATTTTGTTCTTTTATTTTTATTCTTTTAAATTGAGCTGCTTTGACGTCACATGCAAAAGGTTTATTGCATTACTGTAACATGGGCACCAGAGGGGCGTCGAAAACGAGAAAGGTCAAAAACGAAATGGAGTAGGACTGTGGAAAGGGAGTACAAGTAGGATGAAAGAAGTGGAATGAAATTTATTCCGCAGCGACCGACAGAGCTGGTTGCAGAAGGAGTGTTGAAACCTTGTGCCACCTGACACGAAGTAGATAGGTGGTAGTGTTACACAGGCTAGTTTCACCCTACACC